CACACTCTTGTGACTGTGGCTGCACACCACACACACACACACACACAGTTGTAGCTGCACACACACAAGCACAGATGTAGCTGCACACACACATAGATGTAGCTGCACACACACTCACAGATGTAGCTGCACATACACACATGGCTGTAGCTGCACACACACATGGCTGTAGCACACACACATGACTGTAGCTGTGCACACGCGCACGCACACACACACACACACACACGGCTGTAACTGCACACACTCTCATACTATCCATGTCCCTTCTCTCACACCTCTGCAGATCAACAGCAGGGGTGCTGTTGGGATTTGAATTGCAGTTCTACTACTGACGTGTGTGTGTGTGTGTGTGTGTGTGTGTGTGTGTAGGAGTGAGAAAGAGATCTGACCAGTGTCTGGCTGCTGTGCCACACCGCAACCCCAAAAGTGAAGTAGGGAAAGTCCCAGGGACCCCTTTGGCATGCTGAGAGAATCAATGAGCAGGGGGAGTGTGTGAGCCGGTCCTTGGTGTGAAATGGTGCTGTTAGCACTGTTAATTAATGTTGTCCTTCCCCTTGGACCCTTCCTGAGAATCTTCTATCCTCCCCTGTCACTTAGGTCGACGCTTGTCATTATCACCTTCCAGCTAATCCTCAGCTGCCACCACCAATTAACAGGCACACAGGCGCCCCTCTGCCCCTCCGCCTTCTCTGGTCTGTTCCTCTCATCCCAGGCACCTTCCATGTTTATAGGACACATTCCTGGCCTAATTGCTCATGCTATTTTCGATCCATGGAGGAGGTGGCAGGAGATCTTGACGCAGCTCACCCACTTTGTGTCCCCATCTATTCTTTCTAAGATCCTTTACTCTTCAGGCTCCCCACTGGCCGCTCAGGATAGCAACGGCCATCCCTGCGTCATTGGCTGGAACCCAGAGTCCAAGGGTCCTTGGGGTCATTTCACACACGGGCACACATGCTCTGCCAGTCCCCTCCCAGGCAGCACCTTGTAGCCACAGCAGGGGCACTAAGGGTGTGTGCAGGGGGCTAGGGAGCCAGTGACACATGATCCTTCCCTGAGTTGTAGCCTTCCTCTGGGCCTGCAGCCAAGCAGGGCACAGAGAGGAAGAGAGAGTGTTTGCAAACAAGGCAGCTGCCAGGAAGGGGCTAGGATGTGTGGGGAGGGTGAGAAGGAGTGGGGGGGCACCAGGTGGATGAGGACTGGCTAGGGTTCTTGTCTGACCTACCTCACCCGGCTGTGCTTATGCAAGCATGCGCACACAAAGTTGAATGGCCAGCGAATTGCAGAGGTTTGCCTGTCTCTTCCTCCTCAGGGCAGGATTTGTTTTAAGGATGCCCTTAAAGCAGAAGGAACTCAGGACCCCAGGGTTTCCTGACAAGCAATTTACCAGCTGAGACATCTACCCAGGCAGGACTGTGGTGTTTTTTTTGTTTTGTTTTGTTTTGTTTTGTTTTTGACACTGGCACTGCACAAACTTTGATTGGGTAAAAGAGAGAGGAAATAAATAGCTCATGGGACTGGGACTGGGGATGTGTGTTTAGCACCACAAACCCTGGGTTGCAATACTAGGATTGCATAAACCCAGCACAGTGGTGCCAGACTGTAATTCCAACACTCAGGAGGTATGGACAGGAGGATCAGGAATTCAAGGTCATCCTCAGCTACATAGTGAGTTCAAGGGCAGCTTGGCCTATGTAAGATCGTGGAAAAAAAAAAGGGCCTGAGAGTGGTGGCACACTTAATCCCAGCATTTAGTAGGCAGAGGTAAGTGGATCTTTGTGAATTTGAGGTCAGCCTGGTCTACAGAGGGAGTTCCAGGACAGCCAGGCCTACATAGTAAAACTCTGTGTTGTAAAAACAAACAAACAAAAAACGGCTGGAGAGATGGCTCAGAGGTTACAGAGGTTAAGAGCATTAACTTCCAGAGGTCCTGATTTAATTCCCAGCAACCACATGTTGGCTCACAACCATCTACAGTGAAATCTGGTGCCCTCTTCTGGTGGGCATACATGCAAACGGAATACTATATGCATAATAAATACATAAATCTTAAAAAAAATTAAAGAAACCAAACAAAAATTTAAAAACTGGCCCGGTGAGAAGGCTCAGGAGGTCACGGTACCTGGCACTAAGCCATGACAGGACCAATTTCTGCACCCTGTCCTCTGATCGCTCCAGGAGCACTGTGGCATGAGCATGTAATAATGAATTCTTCTTTTAAAAAAATAAGTTGTATTTTTTATGTATATGGTGCTCTATCTACACATAGAGCCCGACAGGCCAGAAGAGGGCACCAGATTTCATTATAGCCAGTTGTGAGCCACCATGTGGTTGCTGGGAATTGAACTCAGGATCTCTGGAAGAGCTACCAACGTTCTTAACTGCTGAGCCATCTCTCCAGCCCCTGATGAATTCTTTTTAAAATTAAATGGCTGTCTGGACAATATTTCGGTACGTGATGTCACAGGCTCCATGTAAGAGCGGCCCAATGGGAGTCCTTACCCAAGTCCCACTTGGTCCTACAACTGCTCTGTCTCTTCTGCCTCTCCCTTGGTCTCTATGGGTGTCTATGTCTGTGCACTCTTTGTCTGTGCACACACTTCGCATTCCTAAATGAACAGAGTCACAGCACAGGAACTGTTGCCAGGGGGACTTTATTTGCAGAGGGCAGCTGAGGCAAGAATACATAAAGTATCTCACACGGCGAGCTGGGAGTAGGGGGAGTGTCCCGCCATGCAGGTGGGTGGGAGAAAAAAGCTGGAGTAGATTCGAGTGGCGTGAAGCCCCACAAGGGAAGATGGGACATCAGAGCCGGGCAGACAGTGGTGGAGAGTGGGAGGGACCCCCGTGGAAAGCTCTGGTGAACAAATGTGTTTGCTTACTTGACTGCTTGCTGCAGGCCCGGCACTACTCTGAGGGCGTATGGCCGTTCTTCGGAAGCCAAGACCCACCCACCCCATCTGGGAGGGTGGACGATCAGAAGAGGTACAGTGGGCACCAGGAACACATAGTAGAGGAGGGGCCTGGGATCGTGAAGTCCAGGGGGGGCTGGTGACCGTCTTATCTGGGGTTTGTGGGGGAGGCTACCTGAGGTGGGTGGGATGGGGCGCAGCCACGCAGGAGAGCTGAGCACGGTGCATGCTTGTTATCCCGGGACTCAGGATTCTGAGGTAGGAGGGTCCAGATTTAAGACCAGAGATGGCAAGGTGACTCCCGTAGGTAAAGTAAGGTGCTTGAAGACTGAGAAGACCTCAGTTCGCTTGCTGGGCCCCAAGGTGGAAAGAGAGAACTGACTCCCGAAAGTCCTCCGACCTTCACACAACAGCACGTGTGTGTGTGTGTGTGTGTGTGTGTGTGTGTGTGTGTGCACGCACGTGGGCAGAGCATAGAGGAGGAACACAGACTACACACAGGACAGGTAGGAGACACTGACAGCTGAGAGGAGGCCACAGCCAGGCAGCACAGTCTAAGCAGGTCTCGGCATGCTTGCTGCTCCCCCTTGGCAGTCTGGAGGCCAGCTCACTACCCATCTTCCCTCAGTCCCTTCGCCAGTTCCTCAGCCTCCCCCTCCCTCTGCCTCCAGGGTTGGCCTAGGTAACCCTTGATGGAGCTCACAGGGTTCCTCTTCCTGGGGTGAGGGTCTAGCAGTCCCCACAGGAGAGTGTCTGCCACAGGTGACAGGCCGTACCAGGGCTGTGGCCTGTCCTGGGGCTGGCCAGAGGCCTGCCAGATGAGAAAGTCCTCAAAGAAAGGGTCCGCCTCCACCAGGGGCTGGTCCCAGGGGAAGTAGCCGGTAAGAAGGCAGAAGATCAGGACTCCCAGAGCCCAGGCATCCAGGGCAGGTTGGATGGGCAGCCCCTCGGGGAAGGGTGGTGGCGCACACAGCTCAGGGGCAGTGTAGGGGATAGGTGGCCCAGTGAGTCGGAGCAGGGTCCCTCGGGGCCTGGTGTGGCCAAAGTCCGTCAGCTTGATGCGATGGCAGTCTGAGTCACACACCAGCACGTTCTCTGGCTTCAAGTCCCGGTACACTAGGCCGTGGGAATGAATATGTTCCAGAGCCGAGGCCAGCTGGGCCGCACAGCGCTGGGCTGCTGGCTGGGGAAGACCCACCTGCAGGAGAAAAACATAACAAAGTTCCCTGCTCCCGGGCTGCTGAGGGAAGCTGAAAAGACAGGGCTGCTTTTCAAACCCAGGCGCAGGTCCGGAGAAAGCTGCGAAGGTTAGCAGATGCCAGTGGGGCCTGTGAGCTTTGAGAGACCTGTAAGGCCTAGTATGAGCCTTCATACCTGAGAACCTGTGAGGTCTCTGAGGCCTAGAGCAAGCCTGTCAGGCCTTGAGGACTTTAGGCCTGTAAGGCCTAGTGTGAGCTTGTAAGGCCTGCTTGAACCTGTGACTCTTAGCTGTGAGTCCTTTGAGCTATGTTAAAGTTCTGTGAGCTTGTGGGGCCTATTGAGGGGGATGAGGAGGAACTAGCATGAGCCTATGAGGCATGGTGTGAGCTGTGAGGCCTGTGACCATCTGAGGCCTCTGAGGTCTGCAAGTCCCATGGGCTTGTAAGAATGCTGAGGCCTGGCATGAGCCCCTGGTGTGACCTGGAGAGATCTGTGAGGCCTAGTGTGAACTGATGGAGTCCACATGGGTCCCTGTGAGCCCATGATGCCCGCTAACTCCAGCAGATCAGACTATGAACTCGAGAAGGTTGGTTAATCTCGATAGGATATAGTCAATGAAGTCTAAAATGACCCAACAATTCTAGAAATTGGGGTTAGATGGGGACCAGTGTGGCCTAACAGCGAACGCGATTCTTGGGGTCCATGCTGTTTGGAGCCTCCCACGAACCCTTGTAGGGTTCACAAAGGCATCTCCAGGGCCACCTACTCACCTTGGGCTGGATGAAGGTGATGAGGTCCCCATGGAGGACAGGCTCTGTCAGGAAGCTGTAGGAACCGGCTGACTCAATGCCAATGCCATAGGCGGCCACGATGGCCGGATGTGTGCCGAGTGAGAGGCCCACACAGAACTCATACAGAAAGCTACGGAGGGAAGTAGAGGTCTTGGGGAGTTGCTTCAGTGCCAGGGGTGTTCCTGGAGGTGGGGGCAGATGCAACAGGGGTGGATATCAGAGGTGGGTAAGAGTTTAAGGTCATTAGGACCAGCTTTCTTGATCCTCTTCCTAGGCTTCCGAATGGAATCAGTTTCTCAAATGCCTCCTTGTTCCCCAATCCTTGCCTTCCTACCAACCTACTCTGATAGCATTCAACACCCATGTCCACCCGTGTCTACCAATTTCAACACATGTCTACTATGTCTACCCATGTCCATCCATGTCCCCATGTCCAGTCATGTCTACCCATGCCCACTGATGTCCACACATGTTTACCCATGCCCACTGATGTCCACTCATGTCTACCCATGCCCACTGATGTCCACTCATGTCTACCCATGCCCACTGATGTCCACTCATGTCTACCCATGTCCACACATGTCTGCCCATGTCCACACATGTCTACCCATGCCCACTGATGTCTACTCATGTCTACCCATGTCCACACATGTCCATCCATGTCCACACATGTCTACCCATGCCCACTGATGTCCACTCATGTCTACCCATGTCCACACATGTCCGCCCATGTCCGCCCATGTCTACCCATGCCCACACATGTCCACACATGTCCACTCTGCATTTCCATTCTCAGGGGGAATAGAAACTGAAACTGGCACCTCCATTGACTGACTCCCCATGATGACAATCCCATGTGGGAGGATTTTTTTTTTATTATTAATTAAATTTTATTCCTGTATTTTGCACCTCCTCTCCTCCCGTTCCCTCCCCTGGCCTCCTCTTTGCACCTCCACATTCCCCTCCCCCTTTGTTTCTGCTCAGAAAGGGGCAGGCCTCCCATGGGTATCAACAAAGCATGGCATATCCAGCTGAGGTAGGACTAAGCTCCTCCTTTGTATTAAGGCAGGGTGAGACACCCAGTATGAGGAACAGGTTCCCAAAAGCCAACTCAAGCATTCGGGACAGGTACTGACCCCACTGCTCGGAGTCTCACAAACAGATCAAGCTACACAACGGTCACACATATGTACAGGACCTAGGTGGGTCCCATGCAGACTGTGGGGGTTTCAGGGATCCCAGCCTGGCTTCTGGCTCCCTGTGTAGCTGAGGATGATGCTGAACCCCTCCTGTCCATCCTGTCTCACAGTTGGGATGTAGGTATGGACCACCGTGGCGGGTGCAAAGACATGCTTGAGGCAACCAGGGGAACTGTACAGAGCACAGGATAACGGGTCCAGGTAAGGAGTCACGATCCTAGTCTATGCAGAAACACCTTCCTAGATTCCTCTTTCAAGGTAGGAATGACTAGTGTCAAGCTTTAGCGGCCAGCTACTAGTTCTTGCACAAGCTTATCTACCTTGGGGTTGTATCGTTGTATGATGTAGGCAGGCTACCAACTTTCTCTTTTTTTATTGCTGAGGATTGAACCTAGGGCCTCAGGCATGCTAGGCACGTGTTCTACCGCTGAGCTGTGCCCCCTCCGCCCCCGTCCCCTCTGGGGGATTCTAGGCAAAGGCTCTAAGGAAGAACAGTGCCTTTCCTGCTCATTGGTAGATTCTGGGTCAACCGCTTATCGCTGAGCCCTGCCCCTGGCCTCTCGCTCGTACATTCTAGGCAAGTGCCAGAGTCCCAAACTATATCCTTAGACTTCTTTTTACTTTTTGCTTTGCTATGAGTTTTCACTAAATTTTTCGGGGACCTCGAACGATTTCTGCAGCCTCAGGTAAACCTTGAAATGGCCATCCTACTTCCTCAGCCTCCCGTATGGCTGAAATGACAGACCTGGCTGTCTTTAAACAAACATCCACCATTCAAACTCTGCACACGCCAGCCTGACGGGGCAGTATCCCCTCCAGGTATCGTGACTTCCCACCACCCTCTGTTTTTGTGTGGTTATTTTTGACACTATTGGGGACTGAACCAGAGCCAGGGGCACACAAGGCGAGTAGAGTATCCTATGCCTGAGCTACAGCCCCAGGGCTCACCCAGTGTGTTGACGGCCTCTGCTCACTTCCCACTGTGAGCATCTCCATCCTGCCTATGGCTTCACCCTCTGACACAGTGGTTCTCAGCCTTCCTAATGCTGTGACCCTTTAAAACAGTTCCTCATTTTGTGGTGACCCCCAACCATCAAATTACTTTTGTTGTTACTTCATAACTGTAATTTGGCTACCCAAATTACATGAATCATAATGTAAATATCTCTGTTTTCTGATGGGTCTTAGGCTACCCCTGTGAAAGGTTGTTTGACCCCTGAAGGGTCGCAACCTGCAGGTTGAGCACCACTGATCTAGCATAAGGCTGGGCATGCAGGGGCATAACTGATCCGTCCAGTGAAACTAAGCAGTTGAAGGCTCATCGGCAGTCTCTCAGTTGCCGCCATGCTCTGAGCAGACCTGGGTGGCTTTCTCATTCCTTCTGCCTCTCTCTCTATTATGGGACAAATTGTATTCCCTCAAATTCAAACAGTGGAAGACAAATTCTTAGGACCCCCTCTCCCCAATGTGGCTTCCCTTCTTTCCTTTCTTTCTTTTTAGTTTTTTGAGACAAGATCTCTGGGTAATTTCACCTGCCCTGGGACCCCATTGACCACATTGGTCTCAATTTGATGGGTGATCTTTGATGTTTATTTATGCATTTTATGCGTGTGTGTGAGCATATGATGCATATGTGGGGTGCTACAGAAAAGGATGTTAGAGACCCTGAAACTGGAGTCACAGGTGGTTGTGAGCTGCCTGATACTGGGAATTGAACTAAGTTCTGCTGGACAGGTAAGGTCCCATCCTTTTTCTTTTTTTCTAAAGGAAAGGGCTTCTCTGTGTAGCCCTGGCTGTCCTGGAATTTACTCTGTTGACCAGGCTGGCCTTGAACTCAGAGATCTGCTTCTGGAGCGTTGGATTAAAGGTGTGCGTCATCCCCTCACACCCCCTTAGCTGCAGAACCATCTCAGAGTCATCTCTCCGACCCCTCTTCTTTCTTCGATTTCAGTTTTATTTTATGTGCACGGAGTGTTTGTCTACATGTATGTATGTGCACCGTATGTATGTCTGGTGACCACAGATGTCGGAAGGCATTGGATCCTATGAAATTGGATTTACACAGTTGTGAGTCACCTTGTGGGTGCTGGGAGTAGAACTTGGGTCCTTTGCAAAAGCAACAAATGCTTTTAAACTATGGAGCCACCTCTCCAGCCCCTAGACTCCATCGAGGGGAGGGGGAGAGGGAGAGAGAGAGAGAGAGGGAGAGAGAGAGAGAGAGATTATCTATGAGCATGCACATGACCTGATGAGCATGTAGGGATCACGGAACAACTCTGCACAGACAGTTTTGTCTTTCCACCCCGAGACTCTGCTCAGGTGGCACGACTTACAAGGCTTTACCCACTGAGCCATCTCGGTGGCCTGTGGGTGAGGCTACAGAGCACTCTTTCCTCTGCTTCCTGAGTGCTGCAGTTACTGTGTTTTCCCAGCTGGATAGTGAAATGTGATGAGATGTTTTGAATTTTGTCCAGAACTGGGTATTAAACCTAGGGCATCACATGTGCCAGGCAAGCACTGTACCGCTGAGCTATATCTTCAGCCCTGCCCAACCAGCCTCAGATATATAGCAAGTTTGAGGCCATTGTGGACTGCATAGGACCCTGTCTGAAAGAGAGGAAGGAAGGAAGGAAGGAAGGAAGGAAGGAAGGAAGGAAGGAAGGAAGGAAGGAAGGAAAAGAAGAAAGGCAGGCAAGCTGGAGAGATGGCTCAGTGGTGGAGAGCATTGGGTGCTCTTCCAGAGGCCTCAGGTTCGATTCCCAGCACTCAACACAGCAGCTAATAACCATCAGTAACTCCATTCAGTAACGTCCATTTAGGGAATGGACGTCCTCTTCTGGCCTCTGGGGGCACCAGGCATGCAAGTGGTACACAGATGTGCATGCAGGCAAAACACCCATACACATAAAACTAAATGAGCCAGGTGGTGGTGGCACATGCCTTTAATCCCAGCACTCGGGAGGTAGAGGCAGGTGGATCTCTGTGGGTTTGAAGTCAGTCTGGTCTACAGAGTGAGTTCCAGGGCAGCCCGGGCTACACAGAGAAACACTGTCTCAAAAAACAAAAACAAAAAGAAAGGAAGGAAGGAAGGAAGAAAAGGTTAGAAAAAACAATCAGAATAATCACTACTCTTCCAAAGGACCAGAGATCAAATCCTAGCACCCACCGTCCAGCAGCTCACAAACACCTGTAACTCCAGCTTCACGGGATTTGCTGCCCTCTTCTGGCCTCTCTGGACACTGCACTCATGTGCACAACTGCCCCCCATATGTGCATAACTAAAAAAAATTAATAAAATTGTAAAAAGAAAGAGAAGGGAAAGATGGGTGACACAGTAGATACAGTTCAAACACTCCCCAGAAGTGCAGAGAAGTGTACATGACTGTGTGTTAGAAAAATCATTGTTTTGTTTCTTTAAGTACAAATAGGTTTTCCTTTTCCCCTTTCTTTTTAGTTTTACACTGTTTGATTGTGTTTGTTGGGAGGAGGTTTGCAGAGGTCAGAGAACACCTTGGGGAACTCAGTTCTCTCCCTCCACCATGCAGGACCTGGGGAATTGAACTCAGGTTCTCGAACTTCGTGGCAAGTGCCTTTAGCTGCTGAGCCATCCTGCCTGACTTTCTCATTTTGTAGCAGACTCTTATGTAGCCCAGGCTGGCCAGGAACTCCATACATATCACAGTTGACTTCAAACTCCTGATCAGGGATACGGGAATTACAGGAATCAGTCATCATGCCTGGTTTCGTTTGTCTGAGACGGTCATCTCGCTATGTAGCCATGGCTAACCTGGAACTCACTATGTACACCTTAGGGCAGCTTCAGATTCACAGCAACCTTCCCGCCTCAGCCTGAGTGATAGAGTGATGTGATTATGAAGGTTTACACCACAAAGCCAGGCTTCTCTGCCAAACAGAAAGCTGAGGCTCAGAGGAGTTAAAGGAACCCCTAAAATACACAGCTTAGAAATAAAGTGGGAAAGAAAGATCTGATTGACGTTGTTATGACTCCCCAGTCCCGGCTAAGCTTGCCTGAAGTCTCTACTCTCAAATGTACCCTGTGGCGCGCCTGTGCCCGGGACCCAGTACCTTTCTGACGGTGGGTGACCAGCAGGACACGGCCAAAGCGGCCCTGGCCCAAGGGACGCACTTCCTCGTACAGTTCCTCCACCTCAGTGCGGACCAGGGTCTGGGCACTCAGAGCCATCATGTCCTCCAAGGCCAGAGCAGTCTCCTGGCCCTGCTGCAGCTCCTCTACCGTGAGCCCCCCCAGGCCTTCGTCACCTCCATCCTCCACAGCTGCCACTTCCGTCTGCCCGTCTTCTGACCGTTTGCCCGGCATTTCTGCAAGACAGACAAAGAAAGGGATCCAGGACTCAGAGGTCACTATGCCCAGCGGAGGGAGAGCAAGGAAACCAGACTTCTGGGTCTGAGGGAGGAGGATGGGATCTGGAATCCTAGGTCTGAGGGAGGAGGCTGGAGTCGGGACCCATGGATCCGAGTGAAGAGGGCTGGGGTCTGAAGGAGGAGTCTGGACCTGGACTGAGGCCTGATTGCCAGTTCTCAGTGTGACTCAGTTCCACCCTGCGAGAGACCCCGAGGAGTGGAAAACAGTCATTGGTGTGAGGTGAGGTCAATCGTGAGGTCAGGTGCCCCCCCCATTCCCACTGCCACCTGGTGGCCTGAGGGTGAAAGATGAACCAAGCCATTGAGACACCCCCCCCTCCCCATCTTGTTTCCAAAGCAAACAGACTTGGGCCCAGAGTGGATAAGAAGCTCCCTCCAAAGAGCAAACAGGTGCTCTCTGCCTCCAGGGAAGGGTGGGGCCCTACACAGCTTGAGACATTAGGGTCCTGCCCAGAGCTGTCACTTGGACCTGTCCCCAGTTCTTCAACCCTCAATTATGTTGTGGTCCAAGTCTCACAGCCCAGCAGCCCTCCCCGAAACCTGGGGTTCTAGACCCCAGTTCCCCTCCTAGAAATATAGCCCCCAGCCTTCCTCCTTCACATCCAGGATTCAGACCCCAGCCCTTCTTCAGACTCAGGAGTTCAGACCCCATCCATCTACCCGCAGATCCAGGGTCCCTGCCCCCAGCCCTCCTCCCTCAGACCCAGGAGTCCAGCCCTAAGTCCTCCTCCCTGAGACCTAAGGGTCCCAACCATAACTTATGACCGTCCCAGGAACTTCTGTAGCTCACACAACTTGGGGGTTTGGAACCCAACACTCAAGTACCCGATTGCTTCAAGGTGTTTCTTGTCCTGTTGAGGGTCCAAGACTCTTTCCACCCGTTTTTCCTGTCCAACTGCAGCCTGCCTCAAGCCGGTTAACCTTGCCCTGCTTCTGACCTGGGCTGAGCGTTGCAGACCTCACCTTCTTCAAGACTTGTCTGACCCCTTTCTGCCTACTGCGGTTAGTGCCCTGCACTTCAGGGCTCCTGCCAGTATCGGTTTGCTCAGGAACAAACAAGTTCCGCCCCCACCTTGGGGGGTCGTAAAGCCCCACCCTCTGCCCCGCCCCTTCTGACCCCCTCTAGGGGCAGAGCGACACCGTGTGTTGAATCTTAGTTACTGGCTGTGGTTGGACAACCGCCCCAGATGGGGGTAGGGGGCTCAGCTTTCCTCCCTAGGACTCAAAAGTCCAGGCAGCCCTCCCCTCTCAGATCCAGAAGTCCAGACTTCAGCCTCCTTCCTCACGTTCAGGGTCCACGCTCTAGCCTTCCTTCGTCTGTAGAGGAGTCTAGAATGCAGCCCTCCTACCAGACACGGGGGTCTAGGTCCTATCTTTTCTCTCTCATATCCAAGCTCTTAGCCTTCCTCCCTCAGATCCAAGGGTTCGGGCAGCCTTGCTCTCTCAAGTCCGGAACTCTAGACCCCAACCCTCTTCCCTCAGATTCAAGGTTCAGACCCTACCCCGTCTTCCTCAGACTCAGGAGTCCCAGCCCCATCTATTTACCCTCAGATTCACGATCCCAGACCGTAGCCACCTTCCCTCAGGCCCAGAATCCCGGCACCTAAACTGCCTTCCTCAAACCCAGGGATCCAGCCCCCCTCCCACCGATCCAGGAGACTAGGTGCTAGACCTCTTCTCTCTGACCCCGGGATCCGAATCCTAGCCCTCTTCCTTCACATCTAGGGGTGCAGACCATAGGCTCCTCCCTCAGACAGCCCCATCTTTGCTTTAACCTGTTCCCATCTGTTCTGCTCCCCAGCTCCTGCCTCTGCTGCCCCACTGATAGACACAAATCTTCCCAGAGGTATGTCCAGAAGCCCAGACACTAGGGTTCTGTTTGGGGATAAAATGAGACAGGATTCTAAAATGATGTCATGAGAAATGATCTCATACGAGGGACCAAAAACAGGTGGTGGAGCAACTGGGGATCAAGGGTGACTTTCCCCCTTTCCCCGGGACAGCTGCGCTGTCTGCTGGGTTTAAAGCCCTCGGGATGACGTGGATTCCTTTCGTTGTCCAAATGTACATTTTATTGTGTAAATGTTCTCAGTTTTACAAAAACAGTTGCGAAGGTCACAGGGCTGCAAAGGTCCCCTGACCCCTCACCCGGCTTCCCCCGAGGTCAGCGTCTCACCCAACACTTGTCCCTAAGTTAGTTATGCTTCCGTCAGCAGTTGTCCTGTCCACCCTCGTTGCCTTCGAGGTCCCTTTCCTGTTCCCAGGTCCAGTCTGGGGGGCACCGTAGTGCATTTAGTGACCTCACTGTTACATCTAGAAAGCATACCTCTCTGGGCTGAGGATGTAGATCTGTTTGCAGTGTTTGCTTGACCTGCACAAAGCTCTGGTGTTCCGCTCAAACCTGCAGTGCTGTATAAATTGTTATGGTGGCACGGGCTGGGCCCGTAATTTCATCAGTTGGGAGGTGGAGGTAGGAGGATCAATTCAAGGTCACCCTCTGCTAGTGAGTGGACGTCCCAATACAGGAGAACCTGATGTTTTAAGTATAAATTCTTGGGATGTTTCTAGGTCCTACCCCTCGGCCGAGTGCTGGGGACTTGAGGCACACTGAGCTGGGGTCTGTGTGCTGTTTGAGAGAGAGGAAGAGCCATGGAACCAGTCCCGGCTCTCATGATTGGTAGGTCCCTGTACAAAGACGGAGCTGGGAGAGTCGGAGACAGATTACTTGGGGGCTTTGTGGAAACAGAAACTGGAAGTGCCTAGAAGTGAGATAAAAGCAAGCACATCCCAGAAATCTGTGATGGTGGGTGGAGGTGGGGGAGAATAGACAAGATGGCTGGGGTGGGGACCAGTTTCGGTACACCAAGATGGAAGTAAAATGCGCCAGGTGGAGCATGCTGTCGGCAGCGATGCGTGTGTGTGTGGTGTGTAGCTAACTTCGGAATACACAAACAATTCCCACGATGTCACCAACACAGAGCCCAGGAAACGCTAGACCAACATAATATCGGATCCTATATATTCAGATATTGTGCCCCAGTAGGTGGGAGCCACCCACGGTCTCAGAGGAGAAGAGTAGTCCCATCAGAATTCATAGTAAGCACTCAGTGTTTCCAGGTACAGAACTACAACCACAGGAGAAACGGAAACTATCATCAGGAAAATGCTCAGGGCCACGGGATGAGACTCATTTGATAGAGGGCCTGCCTAGTGTGCGGGAAGCCCCGGGGTTCCATCTCTACCCAGCACCTCAAAAACAGCGCGGAGATGCATGCCTGTAATCCCAGCACTGGGGAGATGGAAGCCAGAGGGTCAGAGTTCAAGGTCAGCTACATAGTGGGTTTGAGGCCAGCGTGGGACACACAAGACTGTCTCAGAAGAAAAATCAGGATGAGAAGGGGAGGAGAAGGAAGGATGATGAGGAGAGAAGAAGGGAGGAAGAGAAGGGGAGGAAAGAGAGAGAGCAAGACGGAAAAGAAGGAAGAAGATAAAAAGAAAGATGGAGAGAGGAGGAGAAGAGGAGGGGAGAAGGGGAACAGCGGAGGAGGGGAGGAGACTGCAGCAACAGTGGCACACACTCTGGACCCCTGAGTCCTCAGTTGTGTGTGTGTGCATTGCAGGGAGCGGGAATTACACATCCAAGTCCAGCCTCCGGAAGGGAAAAGTGAAGTGTGTTCCCCACAGTCTTCTCCTGGTAACAGCTGTTGCCTTTCCCAGGTGGCCCCATGGCTGGGTTAGGAGACTAGCCAAAGTTCTGTTTTGACCTCCTCTCTCCGTCACCTGGTCAGGAACCTCTGCTGTCTGTCCCTGTCCTCCCACAATCTTTAATTTCATCTTCCTCCTCTGTCCACTCTTCCAAACTCGATCCCCCCTCATCTTCTTCCCCATTCTCATAGGACTCGCCCCCCAACCTTCCAGATCTCTCTCCGCTCTCCCGCAACCCCCAGTCATCCCCTAAGACATTCAGGACTGCCAGTGGAGGGCTCCTAGTCTCAGGATCCAGGTCTAGAAGTCCCTGGAGCAAGGTCAGAGCTGGGGGTGCAAACTGGTCCCAGGGTGCCGGTGGCCGAGAGGGCTGGGGCTTGGTGGTCATCCAGCCGGCAAAGGCCTCAAACTCAGGATCAGGGGCCAATGCTACATCCCAAGGGAAACAGGCTGTGGCGGCACAGAAGAGAAGCACGCCCAGGGCCCAGGAGTCCACAGTCGGTCGCAAAGGCAGGGTATTTGGAGGCAGCAGGAGGCAGAGTTCCGGTGGTGCGGTGGGCAAAGGCACTGGTGGGGCAGGAGTTGGGCTGCCCTCAGGTCGGGTCAAACCCAAGTCACCTAGGGCTACTCTGTTGCAGTCAGGATCGAAGACTAGCACGTTGTCCGGCTTGACGTCTGCGTGCACGAGCCCCCGGCCATGGAGGAAGTCCAGGGCTCCAGCCAGCTGGGCCAGGACCCTCTTCACCATCCGCTCTGGGAGGCCCTGAGGTTGGGGAGAAAGGAAAAAGGACTTGCTGTTTGTTTCATCATCCTGGTCATGTTCTTGATTCCTAAAGACTCTGACTTGAGGTTTGAGAGTCCAGAACCCTGAGTCCCAGAGCCATCCAGTGTCTCCACAAACACTCCAAGTTCTGCTCCCTCCACTTACCCCCAACAGAGCCCCACTTCTCATCAGAACTTATTTCTCCCTGTCTCTCTCTGACACAGGGTCTTGGGTAGACCAGACCGGCCTCAAATTCATCCGGTAGCTGAGGGTCACCTTGGTAGATAACCTGCCTTCACCTGCCCTGTGCTGGAATCACGGGCATGCACCAATGCCCCTGGTTTACATTGTGCTGGGATCAAACCCTGGACTTCATGCATGCCAGATGAGTTCTCTATCACTGAACTACAGCCCCAGAAGATCTCTCAAAGTTCCTCCTGATCCTAAAATTCTCAAACTCTCTCTCT